GTTCTTCCCAATGAATTCCTTAATATTATCCCTTAATAGCCCTTCAAATATTTTCCCAGTCACAGAAGTTAAGCTTACAGGTCTATAATTTCCAGGCAAGGATTTTTAACCCTTTTTAAATATAGGAACAACTTCTGCCCTTCTCCAATCCTCCGGTACAATACCTGAAACAAAAGAATCTTGAAAAATGAAATACAGAGGTTTACTTATTTCCCCACTTAGCTCCTTAAGTACTGGTGGGTGAATACCATCAGGCCTCAGAGCTTTATTTACATAAATTTTCCTTAACAGCTGTAGCACCTTGTCTTGAGTTATCTGCAAGTTTTTTGCAGCAATCATTTGCATATTTCTTGCCATAGGATCCTCATTATATACACTGAAGAAAAATTGTTATTTAAAATTTCTGCCTTTTCCTGGTCTTCATTAGCTAACAGACCCATCCCTGTTTTCAGTGTACCTACACTTTCATTTTTAGTTTTTTTAGAATGTATTTACTTGAAACATTTTTTGGGGTTGGTTTTGCATTCTTTGGCTATTAATTTCTCATTTTCTAGTTTAGCCACTTTAATTGCCTTTTTGCAAGCATTATTGGCTTCCTTCTAACTTATATAGGATGCCTCTGATTTGTCCAATTTATATGTTTTAAATGCCTTTTTCTTATTTTTAATCTCTTGTTTTACTTCTCTACTAAGCCACATTGGTTTCAGTTTGTTTCTTTTATATATATATTACCCAATGGTACATATTGAGAAATGTACCTTTCTAATATTTGTTTGAATAGTTTCCATTTATCTTCAGTGTTTTTTTTCACTGAGTAGTTTATGCAGCATACTTTGGCCATTGGAGGGAGTGGTTAAATTTTTGCCAGGCCAATCGTATTTCAGAGCTGAAGACTCCCCAGGTAATGTTATTTAACTGGTTAGCCCTTTTGAGATCCAGGGGTCTTTCCAGGGCTATGGTTCATAGTCGTTTTCGCTGTGCTGGCTTGTTTTTGGACAGGGGAGATCACTAAGGGACAGTGGGGCAGGGGAGAGCACTAAGGGATAGGAGGGGAAAGAGGCTGGGGAAGGGGGGAAAGAGAAGCACAATGGGGCTGGTAGGGCTCAGCCACTATCCTACCCCAAAAACTCTCTCTTGCACACTACGCGCACACACACACACACACACACACAGAAACACAACATGCTTTCCTTACACACAGAGAAATACACAATGCAACCCTTACACACAAAGACAATGCATCCTTTGCACACATACACAGAAACACACAGTGCATCCCTTACACACACAAGCAAACACACACTGCTTATCTTACACACACAGAAACACAACCATAGGCGTGTGCAGCCTATTGTATAAGGGTGTAAACCCTAAAGCACAAACACACACGCCACATAAATAAATATGTATATATATATATATATATACGCATACAGACACACACATACACTGCTGTGTCTGTGTGTGTGGGCACTGTGTGTGTGGGGACTATAGGGAGAGGGGACCTACCTTTTGTAGGGAGGAGGGACCGTGCTGCTGCCATCCCTCGTGGTCCAGTGGTGAGTGAACTCTAGCCTGCGGGGCTAGAGTTCACTCTGGCGAGATCTGAGCGTTGCCGTGGCAATGCTCCGACCTCATGAGAGGAACCCGGCGGAGCTGCTGGCTAGAGCTCCCAGGGTCCTCTCCTGCCTCCCCCCTGCCTCTGGGCCCATGGAGGCACATAGTGCGTGCCTCCCCCTCACCGGCCCATTAAGGCACATAGCACGCCTATGAACACAATGCACCCCTTACAGACATAAACACTGCATCCCTTATATGCACAGAAACACACCTTGCATCCCTTATGCATACAAACACAGAAACACACAATACATCCCTTATACACAAAAACACACTGCTTTCTATCCCTTACACAAAAACACACTGCTTCCACTACACACACACACACACTGCATCACCTACACAAACTGGTATCTCTATACACTTCATTTCATAAGCACACATATTAGATTCTCTACAATAACACATAACACATCCCCTACACACTCCACTCCCTGTGAGCGAGCTCATGGGTGGAATATGTAGGTGGACTTATGGGTGGACTTATGGATGGTCATACTCACCGTCAGGGCCTGGGGCCCAGACCTTGAGCTGTGTAAGGGGCCCCAAAAAATGGAGCTGCTTCCCGTTCTCCCAGAACATTGAATTTTGTGACCACAGTTACAAACAGCCTCCAGAGATCATGTTCTACACAAGACCAGTGTAGCCAGACTGCAGCCAGAGCCCATCATCATCCTCATCTGGTTGTAAGTAGGCAATCTAGTATATTATTAGTGACACTAATCTCTAATTTAACTCACATTAAAGGGACACTATAGTCCCCATAACCACTGCAGCTAAATTAAGTGGTTCTGGTGTGTATAGCCTGTCCCTGCAGGCTTTTAATGTAAACACACACTGTGTGCAGCACTGGTGTTAGTTCATATGGCAGATCATATGGGTGGGGCATTGTGATGTCAAATGGGGGGGAGGCACTCCAGAACTAGTGTGTTTATGGTGCCATGAGTGCCCTGGTGCCCACCCCTACTTTAAGCTTTCAAACTGTTATAGAATAGTTTGACTTTTTATGGGGTCAGCTGAGCACCGCTTCCTGCCTCCACAATAGCCTCCAGGACAGCCAAAAACTCTCTGCCTGAGCATATTGCCTGAAAACATTGTGCTGTAGTGGTTATGATGCTTGTTGCGTTACTTAAAGTAATGACATATTTGAGGTTATTATCTTGTAATAAAATGCCAAAAATGAGGACACAAATTTTAGATGAATTCTGAACCTTGAGAAGTAAGGCAGCTATCACTATGCTCTGGGTGGCTGCTCTATAACGTTAATAAAGAGTGGCAGCTCAAGCATCACTTTGAAATATTTTTGGCTTTAAATATTTCCTATCTCTTAGGATCAAAAGTATGCTAACTGTACTAGCATACTTAATCGGTTAAATACACGCAACTGACTGAATTGTTAATTAAATCAGACAAGAAGAAATATATTTAATCCTTTTTTGTTATATTTTTAATACCTCTATGGTAACCAAAAGTATTAGCTAATTTCTTTTATGAGAAGACTACTTTAGCAATGTACACGTCCTTGAACATTTCAAGTAGAACAGATTTTCTGGGCATCTATAATTATTTTTTAATTGGCATTACTTAGACATCATCTGGACAATTGATTAAGAAACTGTTAGACTGAAAACACCAAGTCCAGGTTTGGCAATATCACTGATTTAGAATGTTTTAAGTTGTTATGACTCATAGCAGCATACTTAACAATGATTCAGTGTCAGAATATAATAAATATAGTGATTAAAAAAAACAAAAACTACTACAGGATTTTATGCATTTTATTTACTTTCACTATACCAGTTGTTATCAGTAGACACCTATCTGCTTCCCTTTCTGCCACATTGATCCGCTCTCTGCTGAGCGCACTTAATTACACTTGAAGAGAGGTCGTAGCCTCCTTACCTATACTTTCCCAAAATCTGTTTATTGTGCTGCCAAACTCTGAAATACCTCTGCTCCCGCCGCCTTCCTCCTCCCTCCCCCCATTGTCCCATAGGTTAGGGGACCCATAGATAGGTCAGGAAAATTATAATGGCACCGATCGCTCCGACTAATACGCCATCCTGACTCGATGATAGCTTACGACTAGTCATTACTTATAAAATAGGGTGCCTATCGTTGACATGTTATAAACCTATATGTATATGATGTATCGTTGAATATCATTGTGTCACTTTGTTTTGTTGATTTATGCTTCACACCTGGGAAATTAAAGAATAAAAAATAAAAAAAACTACAAAGAATGGAACAAATGGAGTCATCATAATTTCACATTGTTTGCGTCATGCTATAACCAGCTATTTATAATTTGTGCTTTACAGACTTAAAAGGACTCTTACTTGGGGTTCTTGCATGTTGGAATATGTGACTAGATTGGGTTCTACATAAGAAAAATCTGCATACATCAATTAATTTGAACTAGTATTGAGAAGCATAGTCTGGCATGTGAGATTGTTGACCTAAGTAACAATTGTTTTCATTATTCTTCCTCTCCCTGTGGGAGTCTCATAATTTCCTTCACTTGCAAAATATGAAATTAAGTATCCAAAGTAATGCAAAGAACAATATTTGTGCTGGCAAAATGTAAATACAATAAAAATATATATTTCAAATATTTTTTAGGATCAGCCTCCATTCTGTCCTCTCATAAAATATATACGGAAATTACAATCCATTATTTATCAACATGTTAACAGGAAATGTTGCCTTTAGCAAATTCTGTAAGTTGAAGGCCATCAATAAGTGGAGCACCAGAATTAGGAAGCCTCCTGTCATGTGATAAAATTAGAGATCCCTGCTTTAACGGAACCACAGTAAGCACAGCATTGTGAACACCCCATACGACTTAAATAAACTGATACCATAATATATGGAAATGTTAGGAGCAGAACAAACACCTCAACCCATATCCCTTGACTTGATGACTTGAACAACCAATGTAAAGTAATGATTTTGTGTTAATCAGTTGGACTAATCAAATGACACATCCACACTGTAACTAAAATATAACCACACAATTAATAACATAACAAATACAAATGAGGTCTGTCCAGAAAAAGTCCAGCCATTCTTAATATTATTATTATTGGTATTTATATAGCGCCAGCATATTCCGTAGCGCTTTACAATGTTATCAGAGGGGGAGATTCAAACAAAAGTGCATACATATAGTTTTTATTAGCCAATCACAATACAAAGTGAGAGCCTACTACATCTTTAAAATAGCTACACAAGGGGGGCGGAGCTAGCCAGCGACCGAGTAAGACGCACATGCAGAGCTACTGCAAGAACACTGATCTGTACCCGACATATAACAGGTTAAACTGCCAGATAAGCACCCAAAAGACATCCAGACACTATGGGGAAGAAGACTAAAGGAAATGAAAACCCTATTTGCTGCGGACATAGCATTGGTTTGGAAGGACCTGGGGGTAATCACAGCTAGACTGCAATCGCTGGAAGACTCTGGCGACAATGTGCAATGCCAGCAGGATGCTCCGCAGTCTGAGCTGGATGCGCTCAAACTAACCAATCTTCTCATGGAGGGCAGAATAGCAGCACTTGAAGACTCCAAACGACAACGCAATCTCAAGATTCGGAGTGTCTTTGAGGAGGTTACAGAATCCGAAACCCCCCACTACCTCCGCCGCCTGCTAAGCAGCATACTAACACCAGCCAAAGCTAAAGCAATCTCGCTGGACACTTACTTCAGGCTCCCAAAACCAGCTAAGGCCCCGGACGGGGTTCCCAGGGACCTGCTAATAAGCTTCCAATCACTGCGCAGTAAACAGCTGGTACAAGCGGCTGTCCGTGACACACCTTCGTACCACTTTGAAGGAGCCAACCTCACCTTCTTTAACGACCTGACTAGGTCCACCATGGTCTGGCGGCAATCATTGCATCCAGTCACCCAGCACTTAAGAAATCACAAGGTGGCATACCGCTGGGGTCCAGGCCGGAAACTCACAGTGCTTCACGACAGGAAGAGAATCCAGTTACAGCAGCAGTCGGATGCGGGAAAATTCTTCAAGGCACTGGGGCTGCCTACACCAGAGACCCTGCAAACAAATGCTCCAGGTGCAAACTCCCAACCAACGACTCAGATGTGGGACGTAAGTAATGTTCAACCCTTCTACTCGAAAGCTAGATCCACAGTAGTGGAGCCGAACCTGGTTGGCACTTAAGACCCGTCTTGGCACAGAGACATTCCATCCACTCAACCCTTGGATGCTCAGTTTACTATTGGACTGTGTCTCTAGTTCACCACAACCCACTTAAATATTTTGTGTTCTTACCATCTAATGGTTTCCATGCTTGCTCTCACTCAACTACTTAAACTTAACTGTCTCCTTCCACCCCCCCCCCCCCCCACTGAAGGCTGACTGCTTTAGAGTATAGCTACTTGTGTTAAAAAGTGCATTGTTTATCTGAAAGTACTTAGGCACATAACAGCCTCAATTCGTTGTATACGGTATCTCACATGTCAAAAGTCGCTGTTCAAAATGTTTTCCTTGCATGCCCTCAAAATGAAGCATGATCTGCCTTTTATAGTTTGTATGGCTTACTATGTGCTACAATAAAAAAAGAAAATAGCTACACAAAACACACGCTTGTGCAGCATATTTATGTAGTAGTATTTTGAGGTTTCTAATAAGCTAGAGGAGTGATTCCAGAAGTAGATCCAGCATTTAGTTAGTTTACTAATTTACAAATATTATTTTACCCTTATATAAACACAGGGTCTCTATACCTAAATGGTAATTAGAAGACAAAAAAGCAATAAAGTGTATTATCATAAGTGAAATCAGTGTATGAAACTTAAAATGGATACACTCGCATGAGACAGAGTCTATCAGGGACAGGCTCAAATCTCACAGGTGGGTGGGAGCTAAGGTGACACTGCCCCTCTTCAGTCCTCTAAATGGTTTGTTCAAGGGGAAAGTGAAAACCAAAAATAGGAAATCTTAGTAATTTTTTTTAAATAGTATAAATCAACATAAAACAGATTATAACTGCTCACCTTTAAATTAGCCTTTTTGCCTGGCTCGGTGTGATAAAAACTGTGCCGATAAAGGGGGGAGGGGCACAAGCTCTTCTTTAGTACTGGAACAGATGATGAGTAAGATTCACAGGATGAATTGGTTAAAGCTTAAACACAATTTATTAAGACAAAATTATAAAAATCAAATAGATAAAACCAAATAAAAAGTCAAATAGATAAAACCAAATAAAAAGTCCTCATATAATAGTGGAATGTAAGCTTACAACTTGAAACTTATAGAAGTGTCTGGCAGCCATCTTATATTTTTATTTTGCCTGTGGAACACCCTGTCTCTACTATGGATTTTCTGTAATAATCAGACCAAGGCCTATTAATCTGCTTGAGGCAGGGGAAGCGACCAGTTTTTGCTCTTGAACAGATCCTACCTTCATATATGCTCTGTTATCCCCCAGCTTGGCAGAAGTTATATGTAGAGGGGTGGACTGACAGGTCGGGCAAATTGGACATGGACCGAGGGCCAGAGGCAGTCCAGGAGCTCGGCAGCACAGCCATGTGCTGGCTGAGGAGATGGGAGATCTCCTCAGCCAGAAAAAAAATTATTTCTCCCATATTACAGTGATATGTTGCAGGGCCCCTGCAACATATCACTCTGCAGATAAACCCCCCTCAGCCCCTTCAACTGTTTCTCTTCTCTCAGGCAGACCTGGCAGCGATCATTCAGTTCTTGCTGCCAGGTCTCCTCCCCCTATGCGGTGCTGTGTGAGGAGGAAGAGGTGGGGCTGGGAAGAGACATCACTTCCTGCCCTGGCACCGGGAGAGAAGAGGCTGCAGCAGCCTGGCAGACAGCACAGGTAAGTTCCTTATAGATTTTTTTTTTACATCCTCTCCTCAGCATCCCCTGTCTCCCTGCACACACCACATCTCCCTCTGCACCCACCTCAAGCCCCCCTGTACCCACCTCAGCCCCCCTTTATCCACCTCAGCCCCTCTTTACCCACATTAGTCTCCCCCCGGTACCCACCTTAGCATCCCTTGTACCCACGTCAGCCCCCTCTCTTCCCACCTCAGCCCCTTGTACCCACCTCAGCCCCCTGTACCCACCTCAGCCCCCTTAATCCACATTACCCACCCTGTACCCAGCTCAGGCCCCCCTGTATCCACCTCAGCCCCCCTTTATCCATCTCAGCACCCCTTGTACCCACATCTCCCGTCTCAGCCTCCCTGTACCCACTTAGCCCCTTCCTCCCACCTCAGCCCCTGTACCCACCTCAGCCCCCCCTTTACACATCCTCAGCCCCTCTTTATCCATCCTCAAGCACCCCTTGTACCCCATCAGCCCTGCTCCCACCTCAGCCCCCTCTGCTTCACCCACATCCAGCCCCCTCTGCTCCCACATCAGCCCCTCTGCTCCCACCTCAGCCCCGTGGCTCACTTCATCCCCCTCTACCCACCTCAGCCCCCCTCTCTGCCAACTCAGCCCCCTCTGTACCTGCCTCAGCCCCCTCTCTACCCACCTCAGCCCCCCTGTACTCACCACAGCTCCCCCTGCACCTTCCTCAATTCCCCTGAACTCAGCTCAGCCACCATTCCTCCCTACACTCACCCCTGTACCCACCTAAGCCCATAAGCACCCACCACAGCCCCTATGCCACCTCCACCTACCATAGCTCCTATGCCTCCCTGCGCCCATTAGAGCCCCTATGTCCCTCCTTTCGCCCACTACAGCCCCTATGTCCCTCCCTGTGCCCACCACAGCCCCTTGTCTACCTCCATCCACCACCCACCATAGCCCTTATCCCTTTCAGTACCCACCACACCCATTATGTCCCCTCCTGCGCTCACCACAACCTCTGTCCCACCTCATACTTGGTCCAGCCCCGCACCCACCTCAGCCCCGCGCCCTCCTCAGTCCCCGTGCCTCCCCATGCTAATCTCAGTCCCCATTCCTCCCCGCGCCTACCACAACCCCTGTGCTCCCTGCACCTACTTCAGCATCTATCCCCCATGCACACACTACAGCCCCTATCCTACTTATACACAGTAGAGCCTCTATTATCCAAACACGCACACACTACAGCCCCAGTAACAATCAGATGCCTACTACAGATTCTATCCCACACACTGCAACACAAACAGCCCTGTCCACTTACATACTGCACTGCAAATAGCCCTATTAACACATGCAAAAACCCACAAGGAGCCTCACTGTATAGACACAATCCCACAAGCAGCATCCCCACACATACAAAACCACATGCAGCCCCCCTACACAATCACATCACAAACAGCATACCCACCATTGCAATACTGCACACAGCTTCCACACACACAATTATTACAATCACTTATATAGCACCAATATATTCTGCAGCGCTGTACAATAGGTAAAATGAGAAACGATCCAACACAACACTTTGACATACAGGCACACAACATCACTAGCAGCATCCCCACACACACAATCCCACAAGTAGACTCCAAACACATGTGGGGACGCTGCTTGTGATGTCCTCAGCAAAATCAGTGAAAGTGTGTAATTAAATTTGCTTTATTTCTTTATTTTAATCGCTGGGGAGGCACGCCAGCAAGGGTTACTCCATCTAAAAATAGTGTTTCTAGTTGGATTAACCACTTTTTTGGGGGGGCTCCACGGGTGTGGGTGTCTGGGCTGTGTGGCTCTCACACAGCCATTCTGTGTGCTGGGCAGGCTACACATAATATATATATGTGAAAGCATCAGAAAAAAGGGGGAGAAGAGTAGTAGGGGTCCACAAATCCTTGTACCAGGACCAGTAGGGTGATCACCCACTGCCCGAGTGCCCTGTGAGTGGTCAGTCCGCCCCTTCATATGACTGATTTTTGGTATCCTTAAACATACCATTGTCTACCCCCTCCAAAGTATAAGCAAGTGTCTGTCCACTTAGAATGGTGAGACTTACCTCTCAGAGTGCTCTGATTAGTTGGCTTACAAGTCAAAAAATCAGAGTGCTCTGACTGAGTATATAAAGACTTTTCCCACTGTTAAAGCTCACTCAGCTCACTTGGATTTGAAATTCACTGTAGTGAATAATTCTGTTAATCTTGTGTTTCAGAGGTTTGTTGGATAATTTAATTACCATCTTGCTTCAAATTAACATACCTGTTACCAGTAAGATTTACCTCAAGGTGTGTTGTAGTACATGTGAATACCGCTGGAAATGATTCCCCACTTTGTGGGTTTTCTTTAAGTTTGCATGGATAAGGGATTGTTCCAAAATACCTTAAAGGATCAGATCATAGTTCTTTTGTTGCTCTTCCATAATAAGTAGACTTCGCTGTAAATATTGTTTTATTTCTTACTTTTAAATTTACCATGTGCACATTCAGTATTTTTGGTATGTGTTGCCAAGGAAACAATAATTGTTGACAAGATAGAAGAAATTGTGCTGATTCTTATGCATATTTTCTTGGGTCATATCAATTATCTCAAAATTCTAGATGGAACTAGCACCTTTTCCTTTGATGCCTCTGAGAACAGAGAAAGACCTCCAGAAAGTGATCAAAATGACAGTTTGTTATACAGTAATACAGAAACTTTAATGTGAATGTGAGTTGGAAAGTAGGAGGAACACTTTTTATATACAGTAAAATATTGAAATGCATTATCTATTTCACGCTCCCAGGTTTCACTTTTGAAAGAAACTAAATTTAAATTAATGACAAGTGAAATAATCATTAGACTGATTGATTTTACTAATGGTCCTGTTGTTGTCTAGCAAAATTGCATTAGGCAGGTAATGTTATTTCATAGAGTTACTGGGCCAGACTAGACAGTATGATCAATATTAACGTGTCATATGATTGATTTTTGGTATCCTTGTAAAAGAGCATATGGAGATCAGTTGCATAAATAGTTTGTAGAGGGCTTAATGCACAGTTGGATAAAATAACCCATGAAATAGATAAGGAAATAAAAAAGCTATAATAACAACTCAAAATATATTGATTACTGCACAGAGAGAGGTTAAAAAGAAGCTAACTCCTTCTTTTATTGCCAGTCATCTTACTTTAAAAATTAGAATGATTAAAACCATATTTAATATGGTATACAAGTCATGTGAGTGTTATTATTGGTGCATTCCTAGACTAGAAGTGTTTTGTTTTTTTTGTAAATCTTTATTTTTGCAGTGCATAGTCAAGTAA